AAACTGATCTTTGACACAGGAGTAAACTGAACTTTGACACAGGAGCAAAGGCAATAAAATGAAGAAAAGAAAGCCTTTTCAACAAATGGTATGAGAACGACTGGACATCTACATGCAAAAAATGGATCTAGACACAGACTTTATGCCCTCAAAAAAAGGAACCCCAAATGGATTACAGCCCTAAATGCAAAATAAAACTCCTAGAAGATAATGCAGGAGAAAATGTACATGATCTTGAGTTGGGTAATGACTTTTATTTATTTTTTTAAAGCATTTTTTAAAAATGTCATTTATTTATTCATGAGACACACACACACACACACACACACACACACACACACAGAGGTAGAGACACAGGCAGAGGGAGAAGCAGGCTCCATGCAGGGTGCCTGACGTGGGACTCGATCCCAGGTCTCCAGGACCACGACCTGGGCCAAAGGTGGCGCTAAACCACTGAGCCACCTGGGCTGCCCTGGCAATGACTTTTAGATATGACACCAAAGGCACACTCTTATAAAGGAAAGAATTTATAAGCTGGACTTCATTAAAATAAAAAAATTCTGGCTGGGCACCTGGGTGGCTCAGCAGTTGAGCGTCTGCCTTCAGCTCAGGGCATGATCCCAGGGTCCTGGGATCAAGTCCTGCATCGGGCTCCCCGCAGGGAGCCTGCTTCTCCCTCTACCTGTGTCTCTGACTCTCTCTGTCTCTCGTGGATAAATAAACAAAATCTTAAAAATAAATAAACAAATAAATAAATGAATAAATTCTGCTCTGTGAAAGACACTGTCAAGAGAGAATAAAGAAACAATCCACAGATGGGAGAAAATATTTGCAAAAAACACATCTGATAAAGGACTTGCTATCCAAAACAAAGAACTCTTATTATTTTTAACGATTTATTTATTTATTCATGAAAGACACAGAGAGAGAGAGGCAGAGACAGAGACAGAGGGAGAAGCCGGCTTCCTGTGGGGAGCCTGATGTGGGACTTGATCCTGAGACTCCAGGATCACACCCTGGGCCAAAGACAGATGCTCAACCACTGAGCCACCCAGGCATCCCCAAAACAAAGAACTCTTAAAACTCAACAATAAGGAAACAAACAACCCAGATAACAAGTGGGCCAAGACCTTATCAGATTCCTTACCAAAGAAGACATACAGATGACAAACCAGCACACGAAGGCATGCTCCATATGATACGCTGTCAGGGAAATGCAAATTAAAACAACCATGATACACTACTGCACACCTATCAGAAGGGACACAATCCATTCACGTACACAACACTGACAACATCAAGTGCTGGCGAGGATGCGGGGCAGCAGGAATTCTCATGCAAGGTCAGGGACATACACCATGGTGCAGCCACTCTGGAAAATGGTTTGGCGGCTTCTTGCAAAACTAAACACACTTTAATTATAAAACACAGCCCTTGAACCTCTCACTATTTACCCAAATGAGTTGGCAATGCAGGCCTATGTGCACATGTAGAGCAGCTTTATTTATAATGGCCAAAACTTGGGATCCCTGGGTGGCTCAGCAGTTTAGTGCCTGCCTTCGGCCCAGGGCATGATCCTGGAGTCCCGGGATTGAGTTCCACATTGGGGTCCCTGCATGGAGCCTGCTTCTCCCTCTGCCTGAGTCTCTGCCTCTCTCTCTGTCACTCTCGGTGTCTTTCATGAAGAAATTAATAAAATAAATGAATAAAATAATATATTTTTATATATTTATAATATTTTATATTTATACATTTATGATATATTTATATATATATATATATAAAATAGGGATGCCTGGGTGGCTCAGAGGTTAAGCATCTGTCTTCAGCTAAGGGCGTGATCCCGGAGTTCCAGGATTGAGTCCTGCGTTGGGCTCCCTGTATGGAGTCTGCTTCTCCCTCTGCTTGTGTCTCTGCCTCTCATGAATAAATAAATAAAATCTTAAAAATATATATATATATATATATGTATAAAATAGTCAAAACCTAGAAGCATCCAAGATATATGTGAATGGATAAATAAACCATGGTTCATTCCAGACAATGGAATGCTATTGAGTGCTAAAAAGAAACAAGCTCTCAGGTCATGAGAAGACATGAAGGAACCTTAAATGAGTAACAGCAAGTAAAGGAAGCCAACGTGAAAAGGTGATACAGCGTGTGATTCAACAACATCGTGGAAAAGGCAAAACTATGGAGACAGCAGAAGATAGGTTGGGAGGATGAACAGGTGGAGCAGAGGATTCTTAAGGTCGTGAACTGCTCTGCATGAAGCTGTCCCCAAGGACACATGTCACCACGTGTTCGTCCAAGCCCACAGAACATACACCACCGAGAGAGCCTTAAGGTCATGCCAGGGACCATGATTAGTGTAGGTTCCTCTGCTGTGATGAACGCACCACCTGGAGGGAGTGTTAGTACCGGGAGAGGCTGCATGTGGCGGGGGCGGGGGCAGGGGGTAAAACAAATCTGCGCATTCTTCTCAATTCTGCTGTGAACCTAAAACTGTTCTAAAAAGTCAAGTCTGTTAAAAAAATTTAGTAAGTGGAGGAAAAAAAACATTTGTGATATAGCTGATGAGATGCCAAGACTGGCTGAGTGGACCGTGGTGCGAGGCCCTTCCTGCCTGCAGGCTGTGGAGACAATACCATGTTCCACATCACCACTCAGTAGTGGCCACAGATTAAAAAAAAAAAAAAAAAGGTAGACATTCTAGAACTATAAAATGGAACAGCCAAACTTAAGAACCCAATGCCCAGGTTTAACAGCAGAAAAGATGCTAGAAAGAGAATGTGAACCCCGATAAAAACATAAAAACATGTACATCAAGGGTAAGGACTTACAGGAATATGGAATACACAGAAAAAGGGGTAAGATGTAAAAGATAAAGGAGAGTCTCTGAAGGAGAAGAGAGAATGTGCAGAGGCAATATTTGAAGAGAAAATGTTGATATTTTTCTAAAGGAATTTAGAGGCCCAGACTGAAGAATCCCAAAGAGTTTCATGCAAGACAAACAAAAAGAAATCCACACCCAGTTCTGAAAATACAAGAAATCAAAGACAAAGAAAGTATCTTAAAAGCAGCAAGAGAAATGTTATTTTCAAAGGCGGAAAGAGCAGCACACAACTTTTCGCGGGGGCACTGGGCTGGGGACAGCGTGCGGGTGCCCCCCCCCATCCGTCACCCACCACCCTGCTAGCAGGAGGTACTGCTGCAGCCCCCAGGCCCCTCGGGACACAGGGCAGAAGCACACTGCCGCTGTGGGCTTGCTTTCCTCCTTCAGAGGCCGTGCTGAGCCATTGGCTCAAAGGACAAAAACTTCTTGAAAAGCACTCTTTCCGAGGGTGGGGGAGGGGCTGGACAGGAAGGTCCTGTGAGCAGGGTGGAGGGACTCAGGAGCAGACTACATTGCCGTGTGCAGCACAGAAAGCAGTGTGAGAAAACATGACAGAGAACCTGACAGACAAGCTCATGACCCGCAGGGAACGGACTGTCCAGAGAGGATGCTGGGCTGACCGGGAATCTGCAAGCAAACTATATTTAGTCAGAGTCCATACCTCCAGCTCCTGAAAGCCCAAGAAACAGAAAGCGATGACTTTTAAACAACATAGAAAACATCTTTATGAAGGTGAAGGAACGGTTTCTTAGCCAGGCACAAGCAGCACTGCCCACAAAGGGAAAGACTGGTTGGTCTCCTTCAACCCAAAGAAGAGCTGTCCACCAGAGCTGTCCTCCATTCAGAAGGCAAAAAGGGCAAATCTCAGAGCAGATTTTGTGCAAGACCATGAACAAAGGACTCTTATTTAGAAAATATAAAGAAACCCTTAGAGTCTAAAAGGGAGACAGAAAAATGGGCAGAAGGCACTCTGCCCCACTGCCTCCCAGGAGCGTGGAAGGCACTCAGCCCTACTAGGAATCAAGAAAATGTAATTAGAAAAAAAAATGTAATTAGAACCAAACGCTGTACTCAACATTGTGCCCTTATTTATCTGAAATGGAAAAGCTTGCAAACCCTGACTGCTGTCATGCCCACAGGGCCACTGGAGCCCCTGATCCGGGCAGGAGGTGACAACCCCCCCCACCCGGGACACAGACATCTGCACGCATGTCCCTGCACAGGGTGGACAAGGGATGGACACACATGGCCGTTCCTTAGCTGGCCCAAGACAGACACAGCAGTGATGGAGCCTCTGGGACACAGACACCGAGCAAGGAGCAGTGGGTCCAGAGGACACACAGGATGAGTCATGTACAGAAATGGAAAGTCCACACAGGCGCAAGGCAGTGGTCTTCCCACAGAGGACACACAACAGGTTTGGGGACCCACTGATAATTTGGTGCCTTGCATGGTGGCTCCATGGGCATCCACCCTCTGTGTACAAGGAATGCACCACTCTTCAAGATGTGAGGGGAGGGGATCCCTGGGTGGTTCAGCAGTTTGGCGCCTGCCTTCAGCTCAAGGTGTGATCCTGGAGTCCTGGGATTGAGTCCCGCATCGGACTCCTTGCATGGAGCCTGCTTCTCTCTCTGCCTCTTTCTCTCTATCATGAATAAATGAATAAAATCTTAAAAAAAAAAAAAAGATGGGAGGGGAGAAGGATAAAGAAATGAGGAGCCTATGATGAAGATGGTCAGGAGAGCCATCGCTTTCAACCCTTATAAGGCATCCTGGGTGGTTTCCAAAGTGTGCAGAGGGCACAGGACGCACGGCACCCCTGCTGCCACCTGCAAGCACGCGGGGGAGGGCAAGGGCGTGCTGACCATGGGCCAGGGAGTGGGTCTGCGAGGCCACCAGCACAGGGACACCATCCCCAGCACCCCCAGAGGGAGGTGCGCCTCAGGCAAGGGCCACAGCGGTCCTGACCTGGGACACCATGCCCAAAGGACTAGGTCCTTAGGACAGTCTATGGCAGTCATCACCCATGTGCCCCTCCGGAGAGAGACTGTGCACGTCTCCCCGTGAACCCTAGCCACAGACAGGCAGGAGCGTGGCCACTTACATCCAGCTTCATCAGGGTGAGAAGGTCTTTCTTGGCAGCTCTGAAGATGGCATCTGTCTTCCTGCTGGAGACAGTCTCCTCTGAGTTAGCCTCTGAGTAGTGGAAGACTGCAGAAGGGGCGTCTGCCACCATCACATTCTTCTTGGACTTGAGAGGAGCACAGGCAGCGAGATCAGAGGAAGGGTCCTTACTGAGAGCACAGCCAGAGGGGAGAGGGGCTCCCCGCCTACCTTGCTGGCCATGGTGCTTCCAGGGTGCTCCTCTGCATGGAGCAGGACTCTGGCACGGTCACACGCCATTTTCAGGTCTGAGGTAGCACCTGCTGTGCTCCCTACAAATGGAGGGAAGATTCAGGACACTGCACCGGCCCACCTGGACACATGGACCCATAGGCACCCACTGAGAGCTGCCTGAGCTCTCCCCGAGGCTAAGCAGCACAGCCCTGGGGAGGGAGGACTCAGATCACTGCAGTGCAGGGCCACTGTAATGTCATGGAGGTCCTTCTGTGACCCACAAACAATTTTTATTTTATTTTGTAAATGAAAAAAAAAAGGTTTTTTTAAGATTTTATTTGTTTGTTTAGTTTTATTTATTTATTCCTGAGAGACACAGAGAGAGGCAGACACAGGCAGAGGGAGAAGCAGGTTCCCTGTGGGGAGCCCGATGTGGGACTCAATCCTCGGATCTCAGGATCACGCCCTAAGCCAAAGGCAGACGCTCAACCACTGAGCCACCCAGAGGCCCTTTTAAGAGTTTATTTTTAAGCCATCTCTACACCTAGTGTGGGGCTTGAACTCACAACCCTGACATCAAGAGTCACATGCTCCATCGGCTGAGCCAGCCAGGAGTCCCCAAACCAACTTTAATCCTGAGATACTGTGCATTGTATTTACTATAATGTTGTTTTATTATTATAAAATAATAATATTATGTATTTTACTAACATATTATTGTTTTATTATTATTCATAAGCTACAGTGTTATGATACCAACGTCTATTTTAAAAATAAAACCCAGGGATCCCTGGGTGGCTCAGTGGTTTAGTGCCTGCCTTTGGCCCAGGGCGTGATCCTGGAGTCCCGAGACTGAGTCCCGCATCTGGCTCCCGGCATGGAGCCTGCTTTTCCCTCTGCCTGTGTCTCTGCCTCTCTCTCTTTCTCTATGTCTATCATAAATAAATTAAATAAATAAATAAATATTAAAAAAAATCCTATTAAAAATAAAACCCAACCGGAGCACCTGGGAGGCTCAGTTGGTCAAGGGTCTGACTCTTGGTTTGGGCTCTGGTCGTGATCTCAGGGTTGTGAGAGGGCTCAATGCTCAGCACAAAGTCTGCCTGAGATCCTCTCTCTTCCTCTCCCTCCAGCCCTCCCACTTGTGCTCTCTCTCTCTTAAATAAATTTAAAAAAAAAAATAGTGTTAAAACCCAACCAAGGGAAGCCCCAGTGGCTCAGCGGTTTAGCACCACCTTCGGCCCAGGGTAGAATCCTGGAGACCTGGGATCGAGTCCTATGTTGGGCTCCCTGCATGGAGCCTGCTTTTCCCTCTGCCTGTGTCTCTGCTCTCTCTCTCTCTCTCTCTCTCTCTCTCTCTGTCTCTGTCTCTCATGAATAAATAAATAAACTATTTAAAAAATAATAATAAAAAATTAACAAGACTACATTAAAAAAAAAAAAACCCAACCACACTCCCTGATTAATACAGTAAAGGTTACACAGTCCTACAGAATGCTGTTCTAATCACCAGTATCCATACATCATATATTACATACAGGCAGTTGTTGAAACTGAAACTGTGGAGGACCTCTGCTCTTTGCAGACACACGTCCTGTAAGAGGCATTATCTGTGTGGACCAGAGGTAGGTGACTGTCCTACATGTTTGTGGAACTGGATGATCCAGAGTCAGACTTTATTACATGTGGACCACTGTTGCTTTCAGTTATCTGTCACTTAAGCTGCTTTTATCTGAAAACATCTGCTAAACACATTTAAAAAAATATATGGCAGGAGAGCTGAAAAGCCATGTGGAAAAAAAGTGTATTGTGACCCATACTCACTTTAGACAAAAGACCCAATCCTGGAGAGATAAACATGAAAGGTAAAATGTTAACTCTTACAGGCAGATTTCCTAAATAAGACACAGAATGCATTAACCACACAAAAGAAAAAACTAAATAAACTCTATTAAATTAAAAAACTCCCATTCATCAAAAGGCACCACTAAGAGGGTAAAAAGCAAGAGCAGAAAATATCCTCAATACATATATCCCATAGAGGGCCCACGGAGGATCCAAGAATTCCTATTAATCTGTAATTAGATTAACGATGATCTAAGAGGAAAGCAGACAAAAGACAGTGCAATGTACTGCCCATGGAGGCAGGAGTTACTGGGGCTCAGGCAGCAACAGGAGGATGGGGTGTGGCCACAGTGCGCAGCCAGGGTGAAGTGGGGACATCACAGCGCGCAGGTGTGGCCTGTCTGCATCCCAAAGCACAAGCCAAGAGAATGTGAGGGGGACCAAGGACAAGCTGCCAGGATCTAAGTGTACACAGCGACTTGTGCTGGGGGCCACCTATGGGACAGCACAGCCCTCGGAGGATGGGGAAGCACCTGGAAAACCATGCCCAGCACCTCCTGAGCCAACAGCATGCCCTCCGCGACCTGATGGTTCCAATAGGAATACGTCCATGTGTACTCAACAGACAACGCACAAGCAGTGTGCTCACACAATAAATTTACCCCCCAAGGGAGAACAGGTGTGTGTTGCTCACACAACACACGTCAGACGCAAAGTTGAGCAGAAGCAATCAGACTAACTCGGCCCAGAGGCTGGAGCTCAGGGAGGGACAGGAGGCAGAGTCCAACATCACTGCTGGCGGGACCTGGGGTGGCTGGTTTCTGCATTTGGGTGCTGGCCTCACGGCTGAGTTCAGTTTATGAAAAGTCATCAAACAACCCATTTGCAATTTATACCTTCCATACTCATATTATACAACCATAAAAAGCCAATGAAATTTGAAAACAACTTGGTATCAGTGAAGAAATAGGCAAATACCCCAGCAGAAGACAAAAAATGCCTAAAAGGAAATCCAAGTAATGAAACATCCAGAACAGGCAAATCCTGGAGACAGACACAGATCAGTAGTTGCCTGGGGCCAGGGCAGGGGTGATGGCTGATGGGCGTGTGTGGTGTCTCTACTGGCTGACAGAATGTTCTGGGATTATTATTATTATTATTATTATTATTTTAGATTTTGTATTTATTCATAGAGACAGAGAGAGACAGAGGCAGAGACACAGGCAGAGGGAGAAGCAGGCATCATACAGAGAGCCTGATGTGGGACTCAATCCAGGGTCTCCAGGATCACGCCCTGGGCTGCAGGCGGCGCTAAACTGCTGCGCCACGGGGGCTGCCCTGTTCTGGGATTAAATAGTGGTGATCAAGGCACAATTTTGTGACTATATAATGAATCAGACACTTCAGAAAGGTGAACTTAATGTATGTGCATCATATCTCTGAAAGCTATTACAAAAAAAAACAAACATGTTTATTCAGAAATTTGATGCCAAATGAAGATGGCACCAAACAAGGCAATAGGGAAATGAAAGATCATTTTGTTAATGGTACTGCATAAATTACCACCATACGAAGTGAGAAAAGGCTGAAAAGGCTGAACTTCCGACTTTGAACACATCCAAGTGAGAAGAGCAAACGAAGGAGCCCTCAGTGTGGAAGGGGAACCACACAGCTCAGAGGAGACAGTGTGGATATGCTCAAAGCCCAGTGAACAAGGACAGAACAAGGAGGAAGGGGCCACACACAGACCACAGGTGCACAATGGCCGGTTTTCAGTAAATGAACACCAAGGTTCCTGTTCCACGACAGTCCCCGGGGCTGGGTCTTCTGACAGATGAAGACCAGAAAAAGGCGCCTGAACTATTACAGCAGATGAAGAGTCTCTATCTAGAGCATATAAAGAATTAATGCAAATCAACAAGACAGAGTCAGGAAGCCCCGCAGGAAATGAGCAGAGAATATAAGCAGACAACTTTTATTTATCTATTTATTGAGAGTAAGCTCCATATCCAATGTGGGGCTCAAACTCACAATCTTAGGTCAAGAGCCACACACTCTACTGACTGCCAGCTGAGCATCCCTAAACAGACAATTCTTGAAGAGGGAACCCAAACAGCTCTCAAATACACCAAATGATGAAACTTGCCAGTAACTCACAAAATGCAAATAAAAACAAAATGAACTTTCTAACTAATATAAGAGGAAAATCAGAAAGTTACAAGGAGGGGTTAGTTTGTATGGGCTGCGGGCTGGACACGAGAATCCCTGGTAGCACCTGTGCTGCCCCAGGATGTGCTGGGAGCCCTTCCAGGCTATAACACATAGATGCCACGACCAGGTCCCTGCAGGAAGGTGCCCCAGCTGGCACGGTCAGCTCCTGGAGCTCTGCTTTTGTTTAGTTTAGTTTAGTTTAAAAGATTTATTTGAGAGAGAGAGAGAGAGAGCAGAGTTAGGGGAGTTGGAGAGGGAGAAGCAGACCCCTGCTGAGCAGGACCCAGGATCATGACCTGTGCTGAAGGCAGACACCACCGACTGAGCCCCCAGGTGCCCTGAGAGCTCTGCTCTAATGAAAGCCGACCCTGGTGGCAGCTGAGGGGCCAGAGGGCCTAGAAAATCCATGTCAGTGGAGGATGTGACACAGTGGTGTGCTGGTGGGCACAGCCTAGCACAGGGGACAAAGGAGAGGCTCCTGCAGCAGCTGGGTACAGCCTCAGGGATGTGGACCCCCGGGACACAGATGCGAGATAGCAGGAGAACAGGGACCGTGTGGAGGGAAGCCCACCGGGTACTCGGGGCAATAAGACGCTCAGCACCGCATCAAACTGAGCCAGAGTGTGAGCACAGGGTCCTCTGGACTTGTTAGTGTTCCCAGCTCAGGTCACCCACTGCCTTACCTGGTGGAGCAAAAGGGGCCTGGTGACCTGCCTGGGCCTTGCCGAGCTCGTCCAGGATCTCTTCGTGGACAGAAGGCAGTGGGGAGGACTGGCTCCTTTTCAGCAGAGGCCCCGAGGCTGCTGCACGGCCGCCCCCTCGATCTGCTGGAAGGAGACCAGTGGAACGGAAGGCCACTGTGCTCACGACGGTGCACAGACCTTGATACCCACATGCACCTGCCCAGGCCAGTGCCAGCCTTGGATGCAGCCCTGCTCTGCCTCTCTTAGGTCTCTCTGAACAGACTCACCCCTGCTACCAGCGTCCTCCACTAGGCTGGAGCCTTGCAAGCCCCCTTCTCTGTGACTGTTGTGGTCAAGGTGGCCACCATGCACCTGGCATGACCCTGGCATACTTGAGGGCTCTACTGGCTCCTCAGGAAAAGGGATCCAAAAACAACCTTCCAGGAGGGGCCCTGAGCCACATGGCTATTGTTCACTATCAGCTGCCTGCTTGTGAACAAGCAGGTAACTGATCCCACACCTGCTAGCATACTGCACATGACATCATCACTCTGAAGGTGACTTGTAGCCAAGAAACCTCAATGGACAGTTTCTTTCCCCAGATCCAGGATTCTCTCAAGAGCTCAGAGTAGCATGAAGTGAGGAATCTGCTCCAGGATGGCTTTCCACGGGAGCCCAGTCCTCCCACAGAGATGAGTGTGATGGGAGAAGTAGCTGGGGAGGGAAAGGGGCCTGGCCTCAAGCTGGAGGCCAGTTCAGGGGCAGTACCTGGGTCGCATGATTCCTGGGGCCACAGGGGCCTCTCCAGACGATCCTCGGAGCTGCAGCAGGCCTGCCGCTTGGCCTTTCCAGCAGTCATGCTGGCTACAGACAGCAGGTGGACAGCCTGGCTCTCCTGGGGTGTGAGAAAGATGCAGGCACTCTAGGGGCACCCCTTGGCTAGTACTCCCAGCAGCCACACTTGGGGGAACAAGAGGATTGGTGACCCGCAAAGATACCAGCCATATGCTTAAGGTCCCAAAAGCCCAGCTTGCTTTATCCTGGCAATTCCATCAAGTTTAAATGGTGGTCAGCACTGTCAGAAAGCTTAATACTCTTCATTAAGATGAAAAGTAAAGTAGAAAACAAAAGGATATAAAATACCAGTAAAAGAAGACGATAAAACCTAAAACCCATTAAAGTAGGGAGAAGACAGACATGCAACACTGACTCCAGTAATGAGTGGTCAGTATCCAGGGCCTCTCCAACCAGGGCCCACAAGGGTCTCATCTCCTGCTCACAGCAGCTCTGGCTCTCACAGCCACAAGCTCAACCCCACCGGCCAGACTGCCGGCAGGAGGGACACCAGGGGACAGGAGGTGACCACCTCCACTGCCAGGTGAGCAACAGGAAAGGGGCAGGCAGGCTCACAGAGCAAGGGGACCCAAGGGGCCACATTCAGGCCAACCCCAGGCTCTCCTCGAACAGGCATCAGAGAAGCCTCATTCCCCAGATCTCAGACAGGACAGGTTCTCAGTTCCCGACTCATCCATAAGCATCGGCTAAAAGGCAAAGCAGGAAACACAGGCCCACACACCCCTCTCTGGGCCCAGTGTCACGGTGATGTGGATGGGGGTGAGAGGCCGCACTTACCGGGTTGAAGAGCTCTGTGGTCAGGCCCAAGTAGTTGTGCAGTGCCAGAAAGGTGACCCTCTGCAGCCGCACCATGATGATCTGGTGGGGAACAGCCAGTTGTGCGGGCCGGGCCTCCTCCAGGCACCCCAGCCCCGTCACGACCCTCGCAGGAACGAAGCCCCAGGTCTGACAACTCACCACAGTCCCCCGAGATGTCAGCCTTAGGGGCATAAGGAAACTGCATCACTGTGTAAATTTTTGGTAAATCTAAGATCACTTCAATACAGAAACTTAATCATAGAAAAGGAACTCTTTGGGGGGCTCCTGGGGGTTCTGGAAACCTCTCTGAGATCATGAATATTCACTTTTACTGTAAAATACACATCACAAAACCTTCTAAACCCACCTTAGTCCTTCCTCACCCACCAGGATGTGCCTTCCTGGGCATGTGACACTCAGGACTGACACAGCGGCATGTGAGAAATGCTTGGTACGCCAGGCCCTGGGCCAGAGGGGCTACTGCAGGAGTGACCTACCTGTACCACCCTCACCAGGGTTTCAGGATACTTCTCAAAAACACCTTGGAAAGCCACCGCTGGGAGCCGGAGGACAGTGGAAGGGACGGCAGCACGGGCAGACACAGTTTTGTATGGAGCGGTGTGGCCCTGCAAGAACAGCAGCGTCAATTGGCTCCCAGGGCCCTGACTCAGAAGGATGCAGCAGCAGCATGTGGAAGTACCCACAGGGTCCCACTGGGCACCGGGCTCCATGCATGGAGCACCTCCTGGGAGCCCACTGGGAGTCAGAGAGAAGAGCCCACATTTCCAGCCAGGGCATTGCCCTCTGTTGCTGCCACCCTATCCTCCAGCAACCACCACAACCAGCCTTCATCCCTCCTCCTCATGGCTTTGCCTTTGTCAAAACATCACGAGTGGAATCACACACACCTGGCTCCCCTCCCTGAGATGCCAGCTTGAGGCCTGACGTGCTCCTCACACACCAGCAGTTGTGCTCTTGATGGTGCACAATGAGGCTGTTTCCTTGGCTCAGCAGTTCAAGGGCATCTGGGTTGTTTCCAGTTTGGGGCAATTATAAATAAAGCTGTCGGAGCACCTGGGTGGCAGTGACCCATCTGCCTTCAGCTCAGGTCATGATCCCAGGGTCCTGGGATTAAGCCCTGCATCAGGGTCCCTGCTCAGCAGAGAGTCTGCTTTTCCCCCTCCCTCTGCCTGCTGCTCCCCCTGCTTTTGCGCTTTCTCTCTGTGTCAGATAAATAAATAAAATCTTTATAAAAATAAAATAAAATAAACTCATAGATGTTCACATTTATTGCACAGCTCTGGGCTATACCGTATATGCACCGTCAGTATTCAGGAAACTCCCATGCTGTTTCCACACCCCTCTCCCTCCACCCCGGCCATGGAGGAATTTCAGTAGCCCACACACAGCCCACGTCTGTACCGCCAGGGCTGAGTGGTGAGGAAGTGGCTGGTCATGGCCCCCAGTTCCTGGGGGCAGCCTCTCAATGTGTTAGGAATGTCTGTGTTCGCAGGGGGAGCCCTGGCAGTCTCAGGATGGGGCTGGCCACACATGGAAGTCCGCCCACGGAGGGGGAGCTGGGGTATTCCCGACCCCGTGACCAGGCCCTATGCGTCGGGAACCTGAGCATGCAGCTCTCAAGATGCTCTGAGTAAGCTCCAGGACTCTGCTATATTTCTTCCCTTTTCTGCTCATTTCACATCCTTTATAAAAAGACAACTGTTCCTGGGAGACCACAACTACCCCGCGACAAGGAGGAGTAGAATGGCAGCCTGCCAGCTGTCGAAGGACAGGAATCACAGACCAGCTCCAGGGTCCTGTCCCTTCTGGAGGCCACAGGTTCCAGCGCACCCACACACACACAGCTTACGCCCCACGCGGCCACTCCGTAGAGTGAGCACCCCTCCTGTGGGTGCACAGAGGAAGACGGCCTGTCTGGGATGTGACCTCACCCAGTCTCCCACTCACAAGCAAGTCAGACCACTGGGAGATCCCAGGAGGGCCTGGGAGGACCAGCCCCATAGACCCCATCAGATGGCAATTCTCATCTCTGTCCAAGAATCAGAGAGAAAAGCATGTGCATATGTGTGTGTGTGTGGGGGGGTAAGTAGAAAAGGGAATGAAAGTGTACCCACTGTTGCTAAAAATGGCTCGTGGGCTACTTATTTCCAAACAGAAAAACAACATGCTCGACCTCACCTAAAATAAAAAAAAAACTGAGCCACAGAGAGAGGCTGAGCTGCTGAGAGTGTGCACAGGGCCAGGTGCAGACCTGCAGAACCCCCATGTTTGCATGTGTCTAAAAACCTTCTAAGCAGCAGAGGTGCAGATGCCTGAAGCAGGACAGTTGTGCACACAGGGGGCTGATGTTAATGACCTGCGGAAGAGCCACACGCAGCAGTAGGCCACATGGGGTTGGGGGTTGCATGTTGGAGGGCACGTCAACCCTCTGGGGAAAGGAGAGGGGTGCTGGAGGCCAGGTTCACTGCTAGCTGGCTCCGCCATAGCCACATGACCTGGGCAACAGCTTCCTTGGCTGCTTACGAACTACTGTGCATTTCCGTATCTCTGAGACACGTCACAACATTTGTAAAGAGTAAAGTAATAAGGGAAAGGGGTTTGGGGTAAGGTGGCCAGAACAGACAGTTTTAGTTATAACATCAAGACGGGAAGAACCGGGGATGCAATGAGCCAGGCGACGCATGGGGACACTGTGGAGAGCTGGTGCTGGGAGCTCAGCATGTCCCCTTTACTTTCATCTCTGGGCAATGGTGGTGCTGCCTAGACCACTTCACAGCAGGTGTAAATCAGAGTACCTGCTATACACCTCTCAGTGATGTGGGCTAATTATTTAGTAAAATGGAAAAAAAGTAAAAGAATCAAAATTGCCTAGGTATCCAAAGACTATATCGCTACTTCAGTTGGAAAGGACGGTAATAAAGATGACCTCCCATGAGAGATGGTGGTTTGAAGGGGAGGTCTTCATGGCATGTCCACTTATCTCTGCTCTGTTACAAAGATACAAACCTCCAAGAATCAGGACAAAAGCTGAGAGCAGACTAGATGCATCAATGATGGAAACTGGTGAAAAGTACATGACAGACTAGCAGCTAATGGAGCTGTTGTCTTTAGGAGCAGAGAGGCAAGATGTGAAACCCACCCTCACGGGAGGGCCTGAGCCTCCTCCCCGCCCTGAAGTTGGCCACTGGGGTTCTGCAGATGGTGAAGCAAACGGCTCAGAGCATAGGATCTTCAGCATAGCCAAGGGCTCACGCCTGGGCAGGAGGACAGCGTCCATCTACCTGGATGGGGCAGCCCCACACTCCCTCCCTGATTCCAAGCCAATTCCACTCTGGCAGGACACTGCAGACGTCTCTCTGAGATTCAGCTTTAGAGAAAACACCTGTAGATGCCACTCTGTGGGCCCCCTGTTGCCTTCCTGCAATGAGCCTTGGGGCAAACCTGAGCACACCAGGGCTCACCCATATACCCAGCACTCAAATGAGGTACAGAACATTTTCAGCAGCCCAGACTGCTGTATGCCACTGCTGAGCCTGATACATCTACTCCTGACAGGTAACGCTCAGCCACCAGAGTGGGCCAACTTCAGCCCAAGGGCCAAATCTTACCTACTGTCTGTTTTTGTAAATAAATCTTTTTTGGACACAGGGACAGCCAAGCTGAACAGTTATAGGAGAGGCTGTGTGGCCCGCCTGGCCCTCTCATGCGCTGACCACTGCTCTGCCTTCACATGTCATTCTCGCCTGTGGGAGGCTCCTGTCCTGCTCTTTCTCTGACTGGCCACTCTGGTTCCACACGTGGGGCTCAGACTCCTGCCTACCTAGGCAGGTCAACATGGATGGCACTCCACACAAACGGGCTGCTGGGAAAGATTGAAGCCAAAGTAAACAGAGAAGAGAGACCCAAAAGAGAGAGAGAAAACAGAGAGAGTAAAAGAAACCTCATCTTACTGCATCTGTGAAAAATAATAAGATATTATTTAAAAAATTGGGGGGCAGGGAAGAGCTCCTAAAATAAAAAACATGGTGGCTAAAATAAAAAAACACAAGAAACAATGTGTTTGTGAGGATGTGGAGAAAATTTAAACTAGAATCACCACATGACTCCAGTAATTCCACTGCTGGGTATTTACCCACAGAATATGAAAACACTAGTTTAAAAATATATATATATGCAAAATGTGTATGTGTATACACACACATATGTATACATATATAGCACCCCTATATTTACAGCAGCATTATTTACAATAGTTAAGATATGGAAGCAACTCAAGTGCCTGTTGACTGATAAATGGATAAAGAAAATCGGTGTGGTAGGTGTATATACATATACGTATGTGTACAGGTATGTATTTGTGTGTGTGTGTGTATATGATGAAATATTACCCATAAAAAAGAATGAAATCTTTCAATTTGCAATGACGTGGATGGATCTAGAGTTTGTTTGGTTTTTTTTCTTTTTGAGAGAGAGTACACTTGAATGGCAGGGGAGGTACAGAGGGGAAGAGGGAATCTCAAGCAGGCTCCACACTCAGTGCAGAGCCTGATGTCATGTTTGATTTCATAACCCTGAGATCAGACCTGAGCTGAAACCAAGAGTTGGGTGCTTAACAGACTAAACCACCCAGGTGCCCTTAGAGAGTATTATGCTAAATAAAATAAGTCAGAGAAAGACAAATACAAGGACTACAGCTCAGGGGTAGAACATCTGACTGCAGAGAAAGATAAATACCATACGATTTCACTCACATGTGGAATTTTAGAAACAAAACAAATGAGCAAAGGAGAAAGAGAAGCCAAGAAACAGACTGTTAACTATACACATTGATGGTAACCAGAGAGGAGGATGGGTGAAATAGGTGATGGGAGCAAAGGAGAAAGAGAAGCCAAGAAACAGACTGTTAACTATACACATTGATGGTAACCAGAGGGGAGGATGGGTGAAATAGGTGATGGGGATGAAAGAGCGCACTTGTGATAAGCAATGGATGACATACGAAAGTGCTGAGCCACTATATTATACTCCTGAAACTACACTAACCATGAGCTAACTACACTGTGAGTTAAACTGAATTTTTAATTCAATTTAAAAATAAAAAAGTAAGGGATACCTGGGTGGCTCAGCAGTTGAGTGTCTGCCTTTGGCTCAGGGTGTGATCCTGGATTCCTGGGACAGAGACCCACATCAGGCTCCATGCAGGGAGCCTGCTTCTCCCTCTGCCTGTGTCTCTGCCTCTCTCTCTGTGTCTCTCATGAATAAATAAAATCTTTTTAAAAACTAGGTAGAATAGGGCAGCCCAGGTGGTTCAGTGGCTTAGCGCCACCTTCAGTCCTGGGTGTGGTCCTGGAGACTCGGGATCGAGTCCCACGTCAGGCTCCCTGCATGGAATGGAGCCTGCTTCTCCCTCTGCCTGTGTCTGTGCCTTTCTCTCTCTCTCTCTCTCTGCGTCTCATGAATAAATAAATAAGATTTTTAAAAATAAATAAAAACTAAATAGAATAAAAATAAAAAAGTAAAATAAAATACGTGGTGACAAAAATGAGAAACTCAGTAGGAGGTTTGGAAAACGAAGTGGAAGAAATCTCCTAGAAAGTATAACAGAAAGGTAAAGGTAGCACAGAATAAAGACAATTCTGGATTTGTAAGGTTCCAGAACTCTATCTCCCTCATACCCTTCTTAGAAAGCAGACAGCAACTGCTCCACCAACACGAGCAAGCTGGCCAAGGGAGTGGAGGTGAGGGCCCCACAGAGACAGAAGGAAAGGACTCAGATGAGGAGCGGGGACCCCAGAGGATCGGGAGCCAGCCCAGGGAGATCAGGCTGGACAAGAAGATGGGGCTTGGGGGCTTCTCCCCAACTCACAGGGCATTGGAACAGGGCACCAGACCATGACTACACAAAAAACAAAGCAACCCAAAAACCAAGGCAGCTGTTAACTCCAGGAAAAACAAGAAAGGAACCTCACTGATGCGATCAACCCTGCATGAGTGTGGCTTTGCTTGGGTGGGAGGAGTGGGGAGGCCCGTAGTGCAATCAGGAAAGCCTGCCCTCATTTCCAGGCTAACTAGCCCACACAAATCTAAGACGGGAGGATTACAAAAGAGCAAGGGAAGCACATTGCACAAAAAACCTAGAAGAGATGGAAGTGGCTTTTCTAGGGAAGGGCAGTGGAACAGAGAACTGTGATTCACAAAACACCAAAACTGTGCTTAGAATTTGTCTATGTTACTTGGATAGAATTAATTCTTTTTAATGACAGACACAAATGTCTGATTAGGCAAAAATGATGTCCTTCCAGATGATTAGTTAATCACAATACAGAATTATTTTCTCTGAAACATTGCTGTTTTCTTACCCACCCCAGGAGGAAGCTGCCCCGGGAGAAGGACAGGGATGCACCAGGCTGGGGAGGCCCTGCTCACAGCACACATCTCCTGGGGCTGCAAGATGTGGTGCCCAAGCCCAAAATTATAATGAGATCAGGAATCACTGCAGACAATAAATACCAAGAAGGGCCTCCACCAAAGCTATACTTTGCTTAACATTTGCCAAGGTTGAGGGAGGGTACAGAGCTGCATAACTCTAATTTATCTCCATGTAAACAATCTGTCTATACCTCCTGGGCTTCTCAGACTCACAGTGCACCTTATAGATTCTGACCCACACCAGCAAGAGTCCTATGGAGCCACATGGGGGCATACCCTGAACATCTGGGTGCCCTCTCCCAGCACAATGCTCTAGGCAAAGGCTGCCACCAGGCCATGCACTGACCTTTCAAGGTGGGTCAGCCTTGCTCAGAGGAGGTGGTATTCCTCTCAGCGCCAGCCAAGCATCTTGTGAATACACACCAGGTCCTGGGAGCAGAGCAAGATGCCAGAGTTCTATCCATACCTCTACCCCAGGCCCTAACACACCTCAAAGCATGTCTGTACCAGCCTAATAGGGATGGGGGAACACCGTGGACACCCCCAAAGTCTCTGGAGTTTGTCATCCATGTGCACAAGAACTCAGGGCTAGATCAAAGGACACTCACCAAAGGCCCCACCCAGGCTTCTAGCCCCACATGGATGCATCCTTGTCAAGGTCTGCTAAACTGCTCTGGAGACCACTCTGTGCAATGTTCATCTGGGGGAAACTGAGGTACAAGTTGCCTTGATGTACAGCTTCAACTCAAAGCAGGAAGTATAACCTCAAAGGTAAAGTGACAATCAAATGGACCTTTTGAGCTACACAGGTGTGTACATTATCAAAACTCAGGTAGGGGGCAGCCCTGGTGCACAGCGGTTTAGCGCCGCCTGCAGCCCAGGGTGTGATCCTGGAGACCCAGGATCGAGTCCCACATCACGCTCCCTGCATGGTGCCTGCTTCTCCCTCTGCCTCTGTCTCTGCCTCTCTCTCTCTAGCTGTGTCTCTATGAATAAATAAATAAAATCTTAAAAAAAAAAACTCAGGTAGGACACACTTAAGATCTTGTTTCATTGTACAGAAATTTTACTCAGAAAAAAAAGAAAATTAGATGTTAAATTCTAGTTAACGAGAAGGGAATGGTTGTGCTGAGCCGAGACTTTTTGCAGCTGGTGATGCACACACAGTTGACTTTACTATTCTGCCTACTTTTGCAAATGTTTGAGATGCTCCATGACAGTAAGTTTAAAAATCACAAGATGATGTGAGATGTTATTTTGTAATTGGCTGGACTGGCAAAGGTCAAACATGAGACGAATGCCTGGATGGTGGGTGAGGACATGGGCAGGGTGGGGGGCAGTACACCCTACATCTGGGAAGTCTCTGCCAGTCAAATACATAAAATGACATGCACACAAAACCATCCACTGCAACAATCAACAGCAGAAGATTGAGAATGAGAGATACCATGAGCACAGAAGATCCAGGGCAAGCCCCCCCCTAGGAAGTGTTTTCACTCTATGATGTTTGTCCCCTTTGAATCTTGGGCTACACGCATGTGTCATTCAGTCCAAAAATTAATCACTTAAAAGACAGCCAGAACGCATCAGCAGATGCCCAGCTCCTCTCAAACACAGTTAACATGGCTCCCAAACACCCCCTTGACCCATGGGGAATCCCTCCCATCCTAGGCCAGCCCCTGGCCACTGAGTGCACCCAGGGGACTCACAGTGATGACATCCAGGATGCTGAGAAGACTATGGACGCTGTCTCCGGCCAGAACCTCTTTGACCGCCACCTCACTGCCATCCTGCTCAGGAAGCAGAGCAGAGTCGTCCACTGATGGGAGGCTCAGCCCTCCCACAGGCCAGCTGGGCCACCCAACCACTGTCGCCTGTCCTGAGAGCTGACACTGGGTCACTACGCTGAAACTTGCACAAAAGGCAGGGGTGTGACCACTGGGGGTATTCCAAGGAGATGGAAGAGGCACCTTAAAAGGCTTGAACAGGTCAAACGCCACCAGACCCCCTAAACAGTGGGCACCGCCCGTGTGTGAGGGAGAGGGAATGCACCAACAGCAAAGGGCATACACACTGTGTGCCAATGCTTTCGACATCAAAGCGTGCCTTTTTCCCCAAAGAATCGAAATGTAAAATTTTATATTAATTTTTCAATAGAAAACTTTAAAACATCTTTCAAATGGCAGACATGTAAGTAAAAACACAACAAGGATGCCTGGCTGGCTGTCGGCAGAACGTGCAACTCTTGATATCAGGGTCATGAATTCGAGCCCCACCATCAGTGTAGAGCTTACCTAGCAAGGCAACCAACCAACCACAACAGACCCATACCCTCTACCATGCTCTGCACTCCCTGAGCCCACTGACACATGTGGCCAGGCTCTCTTACCGCATCCTGGATGCAGACTTCAAGGCGCCCGTCCTGCACCACGTAGATACTGGTATCTGGCTCTCCTGGCTGGAAGACATGTTCCCCCTCCAGTAGCTGCACAAAGACCATGTGTTTGCAAAGTTCCAGGAACAGTGGCTTCTCAAAGTGGCCCAGGACCCTGCAAGAACCACAGCACATGTGGGAGATCTTCCAGGAAGGAGAGGAGGAGGTCGATGGAGACACAGCCACTGCCGCTGGCACTGCGGACCAGATCCACAGAGTGGGAGGTCATGGACATGCAGACCCTGCAGCACTAGCCACCTGAGTCACTGTCAGGACAGAAGCTGAATCCGGGAATTTTCATAAACTGTTCTCCCATCAGCTCAAAGAACCCTTGAGCCATGACTGTGACTCTGAACCAGAGGTGTACACAAAACCTGGGACGGCAAAGCCAGGCGAGAAAGAGGAATGGGGTTTCCAGGCATAGGTGGAAGGGAGCCCAGGCCTGTAGCTTCCATCTCACCACACACTTCCTGTACCTGCTCGGGGTTTCCTTCTCAAGATGCAAGTGCTGACAAGCAAACAATACAATAGGACATAGCACTGACGGCCCCAGGCCTCCAACGCAGCTTCCGTCTTACCGCACATTTTTCAGCATGTACAGAACTTCTGATGGCAGGTGAGAATTCTTCACATCAAACTCTGTGAGGTCAGCCTCCAGCAGGGACGGTGGTGGTTCCTTTGGCTGCAGGGTTGGGTATTCCTTTTTGAAACGCAGAATCCTGCAAAGCAGATTCGTGCACCTGGCGCCCAAAGGTGGTTGAAGCAGCTGGTGTGAGCACTATAAACCCAGAGGTGGGGAAGCCAGGGGCCATGGTGGTAGGCAGGCTCCCCAGTGCCCTCCAGGGAGGGCAGCCAGGGCACATGTGGTCTGAAGGACATTTCTGGTACCTCTTGGCCAGAGACAGCATCTTGGTCCTCTTCCTCACCCGCTGCCGGGGGGCAGCCGTGCTCCCCACAAGCGTGTGGGGCAGCGTGGTCACCTGCAGGGTGAAGGGAGAGGCCGAGTTCTGACCCCATGACCTAATGGACCCAGACTCAGCCTCGGGGGTCAGCCGCAGCCCTCAGGACCTGCCCTGTGGGCTGCCTGCAAGTGTGACATCAGTTCCCGGGCTCTGGTCCTGCTGGCCCTGTCTGCCCCAGACCTGGGGAGCCATCCCTGGTACCATGGACAGTGGAGCACCTCGTGGCCATATCCCCAAACAGCCAGCGCTCACAGAGCGCTGCATCCTCAGGCCTATGTTCTCTCTTGTCTGCAGGGCAGATGCTTAGCCTCTCCTGTCATGATGGCACAGCAGCCCCTTTCCACAGGCTTTTTATTTTTATTTTTTTTAAGATTTTATTTATTTATTCATAGAGATGCAGAGAGGTGGTGGGGGCAGAGACACAGGCACAGGGAGAAGCAGGCTCCATGCAGAGAGCCTGACGTGGGACTCGATCCAGGGCCTCCAGATCACGCTCTGGGCTGCAGGCAGCGCTAAACTGCTGCGCCACCGGGGCTGCTCCACAGGCTTTTAAAAGCTGGTTGTGGGCCTCCGGGGTGGCCAGCTGGTTGTGAGATCGAGCCCTGTGTCCAGCTCTGTGTTTATCACGGAGCCTTCTTGGGATTCTCTTTCCTTCTCCCTGCCCCTCCTGCTCATGCATACATCCTTTCTCAAATAAATAATGTTTAAAAAAAAAAAAAAAGGCCGAACCCATCCTATCCTGTTGCCCTGTTGCCTAGAACCCAAGTCCCTGCATGATCATCCTGGGTCTGGAAAGCTCTTTGCCCCTTCTCCCCATTGAGACCAGCTCATCTACCCTGTGGTGGTGAGAGTGCAGAGTCCCTGGTTCCTGGTTGTCAGCAAGCCCCTCGGGCAGCCACTGCCCCCTGCTCCCCGCTCAGTGCCTGTCCCGTGGTGTCAGTTGCAGGTGTGTGGTCCCAAGTCCTGCTTCCCTTCAGGTGACCTGGCACCACAGGACCACACTCCCATCCTCCTTAACCCAGGCCTGGCAACTGCACATTCTTCAGCAGGACCACGGGTTGATAACTGGGGTCAGCCCACGTGGCTCTCCGCACAAGGCTGGGAAGAGGCAGCATTCAGGCTTGAGGCCCACACCACAGCCCCTGTCAGTGGTACCAGGGGGCCTCCATGTCATGGTACCATGGGAGGCCCACACAAGGATTCACATGCCTTCTCCTGTGGCATTTCAAATTTGCTATGGAGAACATGAATTAGTTGTTTATCCAGAGAAACATGATAAGTAGCAGCTACTCTAAAAAGCCAGCAGTTATTTCAAGTACAGTAAGGGTCGCATCCCCCTTGCCCTCAGGGAGTCGGAGTGGGCCAGGGGGACCAGAAAGGGCTGGACCAGGCCACCAATCCTCCATGTGGGTTGACAAGTGAGGCCTCCCAGCTTCCAAATCTTGGCAGGACCCCCAATTTCAGCACTGAAGCCAGGACCCTCTAGGCCCCAGGACATTCCCCAAAGGGCCTTCTGTCCTCACTCTTGTTGCTAGCTAAGACACACATGCCTTTAACAGCCCAGATAGCTGGGAACCCCACCCCAAGGGAGCCTATAGGACTGGGGCCTGCAGCACAGGTTACTAACCTTCCTCATGATCTTCCGGCCATAAAACATCACTTTGTCTCTCTTCCGGAACCTGTACTGAGGAGTGGGCTGTACCTGTCCTGCAAGGGGAGCAGAGGGGCCTCCTGAGCCACGGCGGGGACATGGGGGCGATGGGCCCTACCAGGCGGCAGTCAGGGCACACACACCAAGCCTGTCCTGCCCCTGCTACAGCACGTGGTGTGGGGGAAAGGCCCACAGCCTCTTGGCCCGAGCCAGCACAGGGTGGTTCACGGGGAGCAGGACTCACACATCTCTTCTCACCAAGTCTTGCTCAGAAATGTAAGCCAAGAAAACTGGGAACATACACAAATTCATGGGCCCAGGGTCCCCAGCACAGGCCTGAGGCCTGCTCCCAGAAGTTCAAAACATGGGCAAGTCCTCCCAACCTCCCCCACCCTCCCAAAGCCCTTGTCCTTCCCTTTAAAGCTGGAGCAAGATACTCACGGAATCGGTTAACCTTTCTGTACACAAAAAAGACGGTGATGCCAACGAGGGCCAGGGCTAGGAGTGCTCCAATCACAATCCCCAGCAGCTGGGCAAGGACAGACAGAGCGTCCATCAGCAAGGCCGCCACAGAGCCCCTCTCCACCCTGCAAGGTCTGGGACAAGCCAGGATCCAGCCGCCCCCCCCCCCCCCCCCCGCCCGGCCCCAACCCTTCGGCAGGAAGCACTGGAGACAGTTACCATGGTGGACTGTGAATGCCGCTCTGTCAGCGACAGTCCCCAGGACTGCAGGGTGGTGCTCAGACAGAAGGCATCCTGAGGAGAACACCGTGGTCAGGAAGCACCACATAGGGGTGGCTCTGGCTTCCCAGGCAGAAGGAAGAGAGCCACTGGTTCAGGAGTTAGCAGCCCCCTAAGAAGTGATCTTCCAGGGTGCTGAGCTCCTCTGAGCACGCCTGTCCAGGAGACACAGAGAAGAATCCGTCCCCCCAGCCACCACGGGATGGGGGCAGTTGGGCAGGGCCGGCAGCTGTGCTGTGTCACCACAAATGCCCTTGGCATCCTTATTGCCTGTGAGTCCCAACCCTTCAGCTCTCCAGTCCCTCAAATGCAAGTCTGCAGGAGCAAGTTTGGCTGGCCACGGGTCAGCAGGACTGTGTGCTGCTGGTCACAGGGTAGGTGGAAGCCTAGGCCCAGCGAGGCTGAGAAACAAGGAGCCATCTGGATTTTGAGAACCCTGAATACCAGCTCACAGGTTCCATGCCTGCTCCCCGACCACCTCACAGGGAAGGAGTTAATGGGTCTTCAGAAGCCCAGACCCACGGAAGGGAGGAAGAGAAGAAAGTGAGTGCAGGGTGATGAGTGGGCACACGGCTGGGGCCACCCATATGGAGGATGCTGTCTGAGTCCTCAACCAGAGGAAGATGAAAATGAGCAAGAAAAACCAGCCAAACAAGCAGCCACCCTGCATTCTTCCTGGTATCCACACACCTCCCCCCAAGCAGCCAGAACACAATGGGGCAGGGGCACCTGTTAATCCTTTCAACCTTCCACACAAGCGCCAAGGACTAAAGTAGCTTGTCTGATCCCTTAGAGAGAGAGAACACCAGACACCAATGAAATGGAAGGGCATTCAGAAAAAGGTCTCAAAAGCAGAATGCTACCACGAGACAGGATAAGTAAGTGGCCCAGAAAAGCTGGCCTTTGAAGTTGGTCCAGCAGGCAAATGGAAGCAGTGGGAGCTTTGCTGCAGAGCTGAGGCATCCAGCCTCTCCTGGCCTAATGGTGTGGCACCACTGTCAACGTGACAGCACTCACAGCCTGCCCCTACTCAGGTGTGTCCCTTGGAGCTCAGCCACCACCTCGAGGACAAGCAAGGATGTTGGAGGAAAGGGTCACCCAGGTGGCCCGTAACCTAGTTATACAATCTCCTATGGTTGAGCATCAGGCTTTTTATGGTTGTTTTAATGCATTTACTTTTCTGCTTTAGGAATAAAGGCCTTTGTGATGTGGCTACAGATGTTCCAGTGACAAAGCACTCGGAGTCAAAACAAACAGGAGTCCTCAGGGGAAGCAGTGGGAACTGACCTCAGGGGAGGCAACGGCGAGGTCTCAACTCTGACAAGTGGACAGAAGGGCCCAGGCTGCCACTTCCATTCCACAGACTTCAAGGAGCTGCCCACAGAACAAATGCAGAAAGGACCCTTTGTCCTGGTGCACAAGTGCCCCTAACTGGGAATTGTGAGGCTCAGATTCATCTCTGGGACCCTCCAGCCCCATACCTCTGGGCTGGCATCCTCCTCTTGCGTCATGGCTAAAAATGAAAACAAAACAAAACAAAACAAAAAACAGTCAAGGAGAAAAGAAAGGGGTTCAAAGGACGCCAAGTGTTCCCCTAACTCTCGCTCTTGGGGCAGAGCAACGCCTGCAGCCTTCTCCCCTGGGTTCCCTCTCTTGTTAAATTATGTTTGCACCGAAAGAAAAACTGTGATGGAAAGCTGTTTCTCCACCAAGAGAAGCACCAGAGCCGCTTCCCCCTCTGTAGACAGCTCCGTGGCTGCCCGGGAACCCACAACTGCAGGTCAAGGGCGAGTGCCAGAGGGAGGGGGCTGCGGTGGGGGTGGGGGTGGGGGTCGGGGCAGCAGGGGGTTAGAGTCGGGGGCGGGGGCAGCTATGCCTTAGCCTCTGGCCACTGGGAGCAGGGGGGGTGCTGCAGGGGGGCCGGGGGCGGAAGCTGTGCTGAAGCCTCGACAGCCTCCAGCCTGCAGCGGGGGTTCCTCCCCAGTGTGGCGGGGCCCTCGGGGTGGGCGTGCCGGGTCCCGATGGGGACGGCCTGGGGAGGGGTCCACGGGGAAGAGCCAGGTCTCCCAGGACTTTTAGGGAAGCAGCGGCGAGAGGGCCCGCCCAAGGCCAAGGGCGCCCAAGGCCCAGGGCGTCCCAGGGAAGGTCCCGTGCCCCTTGCCGCCTCACGGAGCCTCCCTAAGCCCTGCCGGACAGAGGGGCCGCGAGCCCGGGCAGCGGCGGGTGGGTAGGCATCGGGGCCATGCCGGTGGAGGGGGTCACTGCAGGGGGTCCTCGGGGCTGGGGACACAGGGGCTGGTGTCTGGGCGGGGGGCGTGGTTAACGTACGGGCGGCCGAGAGGACACGGATCCGCCTCCCACCTGCACCTCCCTCCACGCAGCGCCGGCCGTGAAGCCTGTGGGGCAGGGCGCATCCTGCACGGCTTGGGGGCGCCGCGGGCTACCCTTCCCCACAGGGCCAGGCCCCGGGCGTGGCCATCGGGGGGCGCTCTGCGGCGACTCACCGGGACCGCGCGCTCCCGACGCCCGCGCTCCCGTCACTGCCTCCACCGCCCGGCCGGCGCCGCGCCTCCCGGTGCATTGGCTGGGGCCCGGAGGTCCCGCCCCCTCGCAAGGCCGAGGCTGTGCATTGGACGCAGCCAGCCAATCGGAGCTGCTTTTGCTGCTGCGCGGAAGCCGCGCGGGCCGCCGGAAGCCGCCAAGGGCGCCGGAAGCGCAAGGCGGGGCGGCTGGCGGCCGTGCGCGTGAGCGGCTCGTGACAGCGGTACCCTGGGCGCGGCTCAGCATGGGCCTCCTGAGCGAGGCGGCTCGCTGCCTGGTGCGGGGCGCCGACCGCATGAGCAGGTGGACCAGCAAGCGGGGCCCGCGCACCTTCTACAAGGGCCGCGGCGCCAAGGGCACCGGCGTCCACGGCCGCGACGGGAAGTTCGTGCAGGTCAAGGAGATGGTCCCGGAGCTGGTGGTGCCCGAGCTGACCGGCTTCCGGCTCAAGCCGTACGTGAACTACCGCGTCCCGGCGGGCACAGACCAGCCCCTGACGGCCAAGCAGCTGTTCCGGGAGGCGGTGGCACCTGCCATCGAGAAGGACTTCAGGGACGGCGCCTTCGACCCACAGCAGCTGGAAAAGTACGGCTTCGAGCCCACCCAGGAAGGCAAGCTCTTCCAGCTGTACCCCAAGAACTTCCCGCGCTAGGGGTCCCCGGGGCTGACCCCGGCGGGATGGAAGCGTGCAGCAGGGCCGGCCCGGGGACCTGGAAGCCGTCGTTCCCCGCCCACAGCGTCTGCGGCACAGGGAAGGCGGTTCACACCCCACCGTCCATCACCCGGAGTCAAACAAGCGAGCATATTCATGGGGTCAAAAGCAATGGCTCTGGCGGGCGCACCTCCAGTAATCTAGCCTCTTTCCCCTTTGGCTTCACCCATTCAGTGCAGAGTCCCTCGGGCCTCTTGTGTTCTGCCCAACATTTCATTGATCCTTGTGTTAAATACCTTCAACCCTACAGATGGGTCAAAATTCTTCTACTGAAATAAATGCATTAGCTAGGAATCCATATTTTAGCAGAGTAATTTCTTACATGCTCTGACATATTTTCATTAGAAATAAAGCAAAAAAAAAAAATGTGTTTTCTGGGGCACCAGGTGGCTCCCTGGGTGAAGCGTCTGCCTTCAGCTCAGGCCATGATTCTGCCTCCAGATTTCCTGCTGGGAGCCTGCTTCTCCCACTGTACCTCCACCCCTGCCCCCTTGTGCTTGCATCCCTGTGCTCTTTCTCAAAATCTTTTTAAAAAGGTGTTTCCTGACTCAGAATGCCTGTTTATTTTTGTATATACTCATTTGACAAATTCCACGCTGGCCTACACTCCTACTACTGTGTTTTCCAGAAACACAGAATGAAGTTTGGCAGTCAGAGGAGTCACAAACTCAAGTTGTGTTGGAGCTACTCTGTGTCTAGGCTTTGGAAGCCCCTAAGGATACTAAAGCCACAAGGGGTAAGTGAGATAAATCTACCACACTGATCCAATGTATTTCAAGTTTATGACACGCTAAGGCAGCTCAATGGCGCACACGTTTCCCTTTGCTTATTCTCACAGGAGGCTAATACAAGTACTTACCGTGCTGTGATGAGGTGATCTTTTTAAATATTCATATAAAACTGTTAGGTAGCTTTATGAAAAGCAGACTTTCATTTAGTTAATATAGTTGCTTAAAAAAAATATGAAGAACTGAATATCCAACTCCCACAAGACACAAGTTTGAGTTGGGAACCAAGACCCTTCCCTCCCACAACAGCTAGCAATTCTTGCTCTCAGGCAGAGTCACCACTTGGATAAGGTTTATTTCAGAGAAGCCAAGAGCTTCTTTGACCGTTGACACTGTAGAGCCCCTGAGGTGCACCAAACCCTCTAGTCACCTGTGGAATACAGGAAAACTCAATGAGATGGTCTGAGGGCACTTCACCAAAGTCGCACTTGGGTTTATCTGTGGAAATGGTCTTTATGACTTCAATCAACCAACTTCTTCCCTAGCTTAGCTGTTCTCCCACTTCCAGAGGTGAAGAACATGATCATAAAAGGAGCAAGTAGCAAGGAGGTCAGCATCCGAGTTCACTGCTTCCAGATAGAGGTCACGGTCACAGAACTTGGCCCCTGCAGTATGCAGCCGGGTGCCACTCTTTACCATATCCTCTGTGAGTGGCTGGAGAAGAGTTCTCAGTTTGGAGTGATCCTCTTCACCATCCTCTGCTAAATGATGAAGAGAGGGTGCTGGTGACTGGTATACAGCCTTCATGCTACAGAGATGTGCTGCCCTGGCTCCTGAGTTGTTGCAGGGAGAGGACCCTAAGTGGTATGACTGGTGGGTTTGGGACAGGTTGCCAAAGTAGAGCCAGGACCAGTCAGCTCCATACACCAATGAGTTGGACAACGTGTGGGACACAGAGACTGTGCAGGCTTCCTGCTTCTCGTCTGGAGTGAGAGAACACAGGAGATTCAGTGTTACCCAGGGTTGATCTTATCACTCCCAAACAAGAGGCCCTGCCTACTCTCAAAGGGAGACTGCTAAAAGCAGCCACTCATTTGTCAGCAACCAGTGTTGCGTGTATCACACAAAGGAATCCTCGAGAAGTAGACAGATGAGAAGAAAACACACCTTCATCTTGTAGTGAGTGCATGTGCATGCCTCAGATGAATCAGTCTGGCTACAGAAGCACATGGGCCAGGGTGCCTTTCCAAGTTGGAGAGTACTTGGCAAAAGTCTCTGAGTCAAGACTTCAAAGCCAAGGACAAAGAGGAGTTAGCCAGCTGGGAGAGACAGGGATGCATGAGAAACAGAGAACAACCATATGTAAAGTAGAGAACAGGACACCATTGGGAAGCCACAAATGTGACCAGGGCTGAAATGCCATCAGGGAGTTGTGACATGTCTGGAGGGTCAAAATCCTGCAGAGTTCTGCATGCTCCATAAAGTCTGGGTTTGAGCTTGGAAAGGAGTCACCAAAGAGTTTAAGCAGTTTTCCTTATGGTGAGTTGCTATGGCAACTTTGAGGCTGGAGGGCAGGACTGGAAGGAAGTCCAGCTGTGGAAGGTTTGAAAGCAACATTTGACCAGAAAAAGAAATGACAAGGTGTTTCCACACCTGAAGTACTAGGGGCCAGGGCAAGGCCAAGGATGGCAAGAGCAGCCACAGAAAACTAGAGGCCGGTGAGCTGGGGATGTGAACTTAGGAAACTGTCACCAGCTGGAAGGCCTGGTGGCCAAAAATCAAGGAAGTACTCAAAAATCAGTGGGGACATGTGAAAAGGACACAGGAGACGGCTTCAGGGGGCTTTGTGGGAAAACTCTAGGACAAAGTAAACAATGAGTAAATGACAGTAACACATTATGGCCCACTGAGTAACAAAAATTCATGCATCTAGACAGGCAGTTAATAAATACAGATATATGGAAGAAACAAAAGCTCTTCCTTATAAAAGAGTGCTAATTTTAAAATGTAGACAAAATGATAATAGGGGCTCCTGGATGGTTAAGAACCCAACTCTTGGTTTTGGCTTAGGTCGTGATCTCAAGGCTGTGGGACTAAGCCCCTGCTGGGCTCCACACTCAGCTCAGAGTCTGCTGAAGACTCTCCCTCTCCCTCTGCCCCTCCTCCCTGCACGCACCCATGCACACTCTCTCTCAAATAAACAAATCTTAAAAAAATAATAGAAAACCACCAGTTGGGGATCCCTGGGTGGCGCAGCGGTTTGGCGCCTGCCTTTGGCCCAGGGCGCGATCCTGGAGACCCGGGATCGAATCCCACATCGGGCTCCCGGTGCATGGAGCCTGCTTCTCCCTCTGCCTATGTCTCTGCCTCTCTCTCTCTCTCTCTCTCTCTGTGACTATCATAAATAAATAAAAATTAAAAAAAAAAAAAGAAAAAAGAAAAGAAAACCACCAGTTTGCAATTATGGTAATTTGATTCAGGCAAGAATCATCAATGGGTTGAGTGAAGTCTGATGAAAACAAAGGCTCAACCACTCTAACCACAGACTAATTATTATTAATTACACAGGAAAAAAATATTTTTATAGTGAAGAAACCCAGAGGAGACCTTAACCAGGTGACCAAAATAACCTTATCAGCAGGAAAGAGACAAAGTGGCATCATGGGCCTCTTGATGAAGCACACTAAGGAAGGCAGAATGTCAAAATGCTGACAACAATCCACAACCAGTGCAGGAGACCCACTTCATACTCCAAGCTATGAGCAGACTAAAAGCCAAAGACAGTGAAGATGTACCACCATGCAGACAGCAACCCTAAGAGGGAATAGACTCTCTAACACACACAGTTACTAAAAGAGGAGGGATCCTCACAACACACAAAATTGCAATCATAAACATACACCTAACAACAAAGCCCCAAAACACATAAACACAAATGAATAGGAATGAGGGAGGAAATGTATAATTCAACCATGACAGTTTAAGACTTCACTATCCCACTTCCAATAATGAACAACCAGTGTGGGCGCCTGGGCGGCTTAGTCAGTGGAGTGTCGACTCTTGGTTTCAGCTCAGATCATGATCTTGGGGGGTTAAGATGGAGCCCCATGTCTGGCACCCTGCTCAAAAGGAGTCTGCTTGAGATTCTCTCTCCCTCTCCTCTGCCCCTCCCCTCACTATGTGCATGCGTGCCCACACACTGTCTCTCTCCCTCTCCTCTGCCCCTCCCCTCACTATGTGCATGCGTGCCCACACACTGTCTCCCTCCCTCTCAAATAAGTAAAAAAAAAAAAAACAATGTTTAAATAAATAATAAAAATAATGAGCCACCAGGGGCACCTGGCTGGCTCAGGTAGCAGGTGACTCTTGACCTCAGGGTTGTGGGTTTCAGCCCCATGTTGGTGTTGAGATTACTTAAAAATTTTTTTAAATAAAAAAATAATGAACAATCAGCCAGAAAATCAACAGAACACGTGAACAGAATCTGCAGAACACTCTGCCCACGGCCACAGAGCACACTCTTCTGAAGAGCACATAGACTGCTCTCTGAGACCCAACCACAAACACAAAACAATTCTCAATAAACTTAAAAGAATCCACAAAGGAATAAAAATAGAAATCAGTAACAGAAATTTAGGAGGACGCCTAGGTGGCTCAGTGATTGAGCGTCTGCCTTCTGCTCAGAGCATGATCCTGGGGTCCTGGCATCAAGTCCCACATCGGGCTCCCCTCAGGGAGCCTGCTTCTCCCTCTGCCTGTGTCTCTGCCTCTCTCTCTCTCATCAATCAGTCAATCAATCAATAAATCTAAAAAATAAATAAATAAATTTAGGACAGTCACAAAAATGTAGAATTAAACAACAAACTCATAAATAACTAATGAGTCAAAGAAAAAAATCACAAGGGAAATTAGAAAGTGCTTTGAGATGAATGAAAACCTACCATCTCCCAAAATTGGTGGGATCCAGGGAAAGAAGTGCTCAGAGGGAAACTGATCACTGTAAATACCCACATTAAAAAAGAAGCCCTCACATGGTTTTCAATGAGAACAGCATGTTGGTGTAACTAGCAGAACGGATGTGGGACAGACAGGGGATGGAAGGCAGAACAGGAAGCCCTGGAGCTTAGCCCAGCTCCGCAGAGACAGGCCTTCAGAACAGTGCTGGTGAGGTGCTGGTGAGCTGGTGTCTCTAACCACTTCTTTGTGTGGACAAGGAGGGAGGGGGAATCACGAACCAAGAATGAGGAGGGGAAGGGGGCACTGGGGGCTTGAGAAAAGAGAGAAAAAAAAGTGAAAAGATTTTTTTTTTTTAAAGACTTTACCTGTTTATATTTAATTGCCAGAGGAAGAGTGTTAAGCAAGGGGAGCAGCAGAGGCAGAGGGAGAAGCTGACTCCCTGTTGAGCAGGCAACCTGATGTGGGACTTGATCCCAGGACCCCAGGATCATGACCTGAGCTGAAGGCAGACACTTCACTGACTCAGCCCCGCAGGTGCTCTGAGAAAGTTCTGACAATAAAGAATTACTGGCTAGAGAAAGGCCATGGTTTCCCTGGCAATGCCATGAACCCACTGTAGCACTTAAAGTGCAACCCGTAGGGCTGCTCTTGCCCCCCATCCCCTCGTGTAGCTCAGGCATGGCAGAGTCTGACCACTGCCAGGCACTGCCCAGAGAATGTGAGCAGAGGGCTGTGGCATGCTGGGAACATGGGACCATGAGGGCCACATTGTACACAGACAGGAGGGGCAGCCGTGGGAGTGACAGGTGGTGATGCTTCTGGAGCAGAGTCCTAACAGGGCGGAAAACAGCTGGGCCCGTTATGTAAGAACAGTGGCTAAGGAGCAGAGTGCTGGAGACTGAAGCTGGGAGCTGGCCCAGACACCCGCCTTGCTGAGACTGAGGGTGTGAACCTAGGAAGGTGTGGTGCCTGGGGGAAGGGCCTGGTAGAACAATGGGGCAGGAAGCCAGGCACTCCCCACCCCAGGCCTGGCTGTGTGGGGCCCCTACCCACCTATTGCCTTTTGGCAGTTGAAGATCCTAAAGCCACCGTGCATACAGGCTGCCAGGAGCAGGTGGTGGTGGAAGGGGTGCCACTTGAGCCTCCACACTCCGCCCTGTGTGGGCATGTCTGCAAATGGCTGCTTCATGTTCCGAGTGTCCCACAGTAGAATGTGCTCATCATAGCTGAAACCCATCAAGCACAGTGATCACGCAGGAAAGCCCACACCCACTTATTCCCCAAGGCCCTGGGTGGCAGGGGACATCTCCCAGGGAAGCCCACGCCACTCATTCCTCTAGGACAAAGCCTCCTTTTCCCAAGCCCAGGTACCTACACTCTGGTATGAGAGTCGTCCAATTAAACAACATGGCAATGGTCAACATGAGGAAAGGAAGTGACAGGTAGAAGATGGACCCCTGTGAACCAACCCTAAGGGACTCACCTTCCCGTAGCCAAGATGTTCTCACGATGGGGACTGCTCTGGATGCTGCACACACCCATGGAGTGTCTACAGGCAAAAGTGCAAGGGCTGAGCAAGCACCCCCACAGGGGCACGTCTCCAGTGCAAAGTCCACAGGGAAGGGACAGGAGGTTTGGTCCCTAGATAATTTACCTGTCGCTAGTGAACACAGATGTGCTGGGTGTCCTGGTGTCCCAGCCCTTCAGGAGGCCATCGTCTCCACCTGTGTGGAGACAGAAATGCCCACTGACAAAGGAAGCAGCCACTTCTCAGGGAGAGCATTTACGCCTGTGAGGAAACCCCTGTGATGACTTCCCGGCGGTTCTAGGCTGCCCCACGAAGAGCCTTGTGCTGGAACTGTCTTCAGACTAGAAGAGGGTGCCTGCAGAGGAGACAGGAAAGGCTGGGGGGCTCAGGCTACAGGAATAAAAGGGAAGGCCAAGAGGTTAGGGGAAGAATTTCCAGGTTACAACATGGCTCAACTGCCCTCTCTTTAGGCTCCAGCAATCATTGCTCCCGGCTGTCGCAAACCAAAGTCGCCGTATCAAAGAACTCCGAACAGGAACTACATGCAGGGCACAGTGAACATGAGCACTTCTTATGTTTCTGGAACCTTCTGCACACCCCCATGTGTTTTAAAGGGAAGTACCCTTTGTAACCCTGCAGTAAAAACGACCCTTGTGCTTGTCTTAGGGAACTGAAAAAATGGGAAGAAAGGGGAAGCTGGCCCCCTAGTCCACAAGTAGTCTTTGAAGAAAAGCAACCATAAGGTATAGTATGCTGGTGGGTATCCTGAAGGAAGGGAGCAAGGCTGAAAAACAGGGAGGATGAAAAGAAGCAAAAGAACAACAGGTAAGTGTGACCTTTCCATCCATCCATCCATCCATTTATCCACCTAGTCTTCCATATACCCACCTACCCATACCCCTATCTACCTTTCATTCAACTACCTGCCCATCCAACAGATACTTACCGAGCATACTACAAACAGGACAAGTCAACCAGCAGAGCCAGCGCACTGGGTGTGATGCCTGCAGGTGAGCCTTGGTATCAGCTGCCATCCCATGGCAGATGCACAGAGGAAGTTGGTCGTGGTCTTTTTTTCTTTTTAAAGATTTTATTTATTTATTCATGAGAAACAGAGAGAGAGAGGTAGAGTACACAGGCAGAGGGAGAAGCAGGCTCCATGCAGGAAGCCCGACATGGGACTCGATCCCAGGTCTCCAGGATCATGCCCTGGGCTGAAGGCGGTGCTAAACCGCTGAGCCACCCAGGCTGCCTGGTTGTGGTCTTTACACACCCGTCTCTCCTCTGTCTCACACCCACATTTGTGCACCAGGATGTCCTGATGATCCTGACCCACCTGCACACATACATCCCAAGTCCTACCACTTTTCCCTCCTGTGCACTGCTTCCAGAGTGATCTGAGGCCATCTTGCCACCACCTGCATGCAGGCCTCCAGGCTCTGCCCTGACCTCCTCACAGTCTATTTCCACAAGTCAGAAAATGTCATCCCTCTCTCTGCTCAATATCCTGCTAGTGCTCCTGTTTCATTCCAAGCAAAACCCAAAGCCCTTCCTGTGGTCTGCAAGGCCCTGAGACCTTTTTTTTTTTTTTTTTAAAGATTTATTTATTTATTTATTCATGGAGACACAGAGAGAGGGGCACAGACACAGGCAGAGGGAGTCCATGCAGGGAGCCCAACATGGGACTCGATCCCAGGTCTCCAGGATTATGCCCCAGGCTGACCATGAGGGCCACACTGTGCACAGACAGGAGGGGCAGCCGTGGGAGTGACAGGTGGTGATGCTTCTGGAGCAGAGTCCTAACAGGGCGGAAAACAGCTGGGCCCGTTATGTAAGATTTAGATTTATTTATTTATGAGAGAGAGAAAGAGAGAGAGAGAGGCAGAGACACCAGAGGAGGGAGAAGCAGGCTCCATGTCAGGAGCCCAACGTGGGACTTGATCCCGGGACTCCAGGATCGTGCCTTGGGCCAAAGGCAGGCGCTAAACCACCGAGCCACCCAGGGATCCCCCGTCTCTTGGGCTTTTCTTCAGGAAGGTAAACTATCCAAAAAGGGAGATTGGGGGATGCCTGGGTGGCTCAGCGGTTTAGCGCCTACCTTCAGGCCAGGGCGTGATTCTGGAGACCCAGGATCGAGTCCCACATCAGGCTCCCTGCATGGAGCCTGCTTCTCCCTCCGCCTATGTCTCTCTCTCTCTGTCTCTCATGAATCAGTCAATCAATCTTTAAAAAAAAACAACAAAACAAAAGAGAGGAGACAAACTGGAAATCCAACATGACAAAGTCAACATTGGGCCTAGAAATAGCAGTGAAAAATGTGGGAACTCGGGATTTCTCACAGCTGGAGCAAGGGATCAGATACCAAGAGTGGCAGGAGGCAGGGCTCCTGCTACTGCAACACAGGGGTTGGGGTATCCAAGACCCCAAGCCTGCAGCCAAGTGCACTTCACTTTCTAAGGGACAGCTAAGTAATGAATAGCAACTACAGTTGTCTCCACAAAGGGTCTTCAAGATGCCAACACGTCCGGAGTCACGGCCTCACCATGTGCCATGCTTGCCCACTCCCTCCCTCCCCCATGGGGAGAAATACCTACCTGAATAAACTATTTCTGTCTGCCAGTAATTGAAAGCAGCAATCCAGGCCTCGAAGTGATGGGCATGCCACGAGGCCACATCCTGCAGCCTGGGCCCCGCCTCATTCACCTCTAGCAGGTGGAGTTGCCCCTTGGAGTCGCTGCTAATGATTTTCAAGGGCTGGTCACTGGCCCTAGACACAGGAAACCAATAGAGTAAGCCAGCTGAATGTATTCACTGACCCACTCATCACCCTCTTCTGGTTCCTGACTGGTGACACCCGAGACCTATCATGGGAGAAGTTCTCCACGGACCTGGTATGTGGATGTGCCTGTGAAGGAGTTTCAGCATCTGGCAGAAACCAAAAACTACCACTTAGCTTGTCAAAATAAACCAGTGTCAGCTCTCCTGATGAAAACATCATCCCTTTTATCTGAAAGGTTGGAACGTTTTCTTTCTAGATTAGGACTGGTAGTGATATTCCCAGTTCTGGGAAGCCGCCATCAAGGCTGGTACAAGGTTTCAACCCTCTCTTGCATCCTCAGAGGAGAGACTTGGGGTTGCTCACCAACACCAACCCTTACCATTCAGTTTTCCTGGTGGACCAATCCAGAGACAAGGCCAGGCACTGCCTCTCCAGGGCAAAGCAGGAAACCAGCTCCAGCGTGTAAGCGGTCTAGTAGGAAGAGAGTTCTAGTGGGGGGAGGCTTCCAGTGGGGAGAGGGTTCCAGTGTGTGGGTGGGGAGAGGTCCAGATGGGGGAGGGTTCCAGTGGGTGGGGAGAGGTCCAGGTTGGGGGGGATGGTACCAGTGGGGGGAAGGTCCCAGGGTGGAGGGTTCCAATGGGGGGGAAGAGGTCCAGGTGAGGGGTTCCAGTCGGGGGGAGGATCCCAGGGGGGAGGGTTCCAGTGGGGGGAGAAAGGGGCACTAAGTACTAAAGGGAAACAGCCCAGAAACCTGGAAAGACGACAGCTCCTCAGGGGCCATCACTCCCTCATCTACTGCTAGATGAACAAGTGTGTTAGCCCTTCATTCACCGCAGAACCGGAGGCACTGGGGGCCTGCCTCTGCTCTCCAGGAGCTCACACACTCACAGGAGGACTTTCCCACACATGTGGCTTCAGGGGAAACTGGTCTCTGCTTTTCAGACCCCCTCGCTGTCCATGCACTCCCAGCACAGTCCTGCCACCTACATGGGCTCCAGGAAGCACCACGGGCACACACTCCCCACCCCTCCGGACCTCAAGGGATGTTGGGACACACTGTCTTCAGGGACAGCTACAACAGGATCTTTCCTTTAGTTTCCTTTTCAGAAGCCACAACTAGCCATTAGGTAAGTTTTTTTTTTATTACCCTGGCAACCTGAACAGGGCTTAACTCTCTCAAAAGGCTCCCAGCAGGCTGCTTCCTCAGTCCACTCCGGGGGTTCTCTGCTCCTGCCAGAATGTGGTTCAGGGGCCCATAGTCTTTCCCAAAGGATTTCCTCCCTTATTCCTGAGACAGCAAGGCCCTTTATGCACAGCCCTCAGGTGCTGTAACTCTAACAGCAAGCAGACCTGCTCCAGCCTCACTTGCACAGCTATGCTAGGGTGTGTCCCTCCCACTGAGTCAGGGCTTGGTCTTGTGGGCTGTTTACTCACTTCCCTGTGCTCTTGATCCTCCAACAATCAGATGTAGTCATTTTGCAAATGTGTGGTACTGATCAATACCAAATGCTCTGAGAAAGCCATATGGGAAACATATGCCTTCCTAATTATGGGTGACAAATACCACTTTCACATAGGAAATTCATTGCTATTCTGGGCCCCAGCATCATCAACCTAAAAATGCTGGTCCATGGACAGGTGAATGAATACCCTGCCACTAGCCCTTCCCCTGTTGACACAAAAGGTGACCTCTTCTTAGAGTTAGATGCAGACCCAATAATGTAAAATAGACTGCATGCTAGACTAGAATGTGTTGTGATAAAGTTTGCCATTGAACAGAACCATGCTACAAAAAGGTTTGCAGCAGCAAAACCTCATGCCCAAATCCTCTCCATTCAGATGCCTTCCACCTCCCACAACTCCTGGTTTTACTTACTGACCTCAGATCCCACCAAGCGGAGCAGTTCAATGGACCCACCAGCATTTGCCACACCCAAGAGGGCATGGCCGGCCACCGGGATGTGGCACCTGAGGAGAGAATTCATACGCCAGTCAGAACACAGGATATGCCCGGAAAACAGGAGAGCATTATGAACCTCAGTAACTTATTATTTAAATTTCAGCTCTAAGGGGATCCCTGGGTGGCTCAGCGGTTTAGCCCCTGCCTTCCGCCCAGGGTGTGATCCTGGAGTCCCGGGATCCAGTCCTGCATCAGGTTCCCTACATGGAGCCTGCTTCTCCCTCTGCCTGTGTCTCTAGTAAATAAATAAACGAAATCTTAAAAAAAAAAAAAAATTCAGCTCTATCAGGACGCCTGGATGACTCAGCAGTTAAGTGTCTGCCTTCAGCTCAGGGTGTGATCCCGGCGTCCTGGGATCGAGTCCTGCATTGGGCTCCCTGAATGGAGCCTGCTTCTCCCTCTGCCTGTGTCTCTGCCTCTCTCTCTCTCTGTGTCTCATGAATAAATAAGTGAAATCTTAAAAAAATTTTTTTTCAAACCCAAACCAGGTTGTAGCCTACAATTCTGTCCCAAGATTCCCCAGCTTATGAATCAGAAAACCAGCATCAAATCTCAGACTGATACCAACCCTAGGCCTTGGAAACTGGCAAACGAAAGGAGTTCAAGTCTACCGTACCCTCCGAGTGCCAACAGGTGGGGAGGACAATAAAGAAATGAAAAAGTTCAGACATTTCTCCATCCTATTGAATGCTGACAGGCATCAGCCTCCCCTGATTAAATGAACACACACTCGTGACAAATTCCAGAGAAGAGGAATTGTTATCAATGTTATACCATTTCAGGTCCAGGATTGCAGAAGTGTCCCTCCTTTGGATCTCAAGCAGGGGGGAAGCAGCGCTGTCCTCACTAAAACTATACAAGTAGAGACGACCTAAACGGATCTGAGGCTCATCAAGGTCAGGTGCGCTCTAAAAAGATACAGATGTATTCTGATTACCCTAAAAGATACTGAGGAACCCAAAGGATGGGGAAAGGAATCAAGGGAAAGAAAAGCTGTGCCAAGACTGTAGAACTCTGGGAGCACCTGGGTGGCTCAGATCATGATCCCAGAGTCCTGGGATGGAGCCCCGCATCGGGCTCCCTGCTCGGTGGGGAGTCTGCTTCTCCTTCTCCCTCTGCACCTCCCCCTGCTCATTTTCTCTCTCCCTGGTCTCCCTGGAATGAATAAAATCTTAAAAAAAAAAAAAAAAAAAAAAGACTGGAACTCTGCCTGGAAGCAGCACCCCTGATCTCTAAGTTGGAGAAATGTCTCTTGTCTTGTATACAATTAATGTGTAAGAAGGTAAACTGTGCTGGACTCAGCATAAAATGCCTTTTTATTTTTATTTTTTTTAAAAGACTTTATTCATGAGAGACACAGAGAGAGAGGCACAGACAAGGCAGAGGCAGAGGGAGAAGCAGGCTCCACGCAGGGGGCCTGACATGGGACTCGATCCCGGTCTCCAGGATCACACCCTGGGCTGAAGGCGGCACCAAACCACTGAGCCACCCGGGCTGCCCATAAAATGCCTTTTTTTTTTTTAAAAAAAAAGTTTTATTTAACTAATCTCTACACCCAATGTGGGGCTTGAATTTACGACCTTGAGATCAGGCATCGCATGCTCTACCCACTGAGCCAGGCAGGTCCCCCTAGAACGCTCCTTCTAAGAGGGCTAACAGGACTCATCTGCCCTGGAAAGGTCCTGGCTTAGGACCTGTTGCTGGAGTGCCCGTTATTCTTAAAAGTGTCCTGGTCTGGATCTGAACAGACACCTTTAAGACATCAGGTATGACTCCTTCAAATTCCCATTTCCTCTTTGCTCTAGGCTTCATCCATAAACTTAGAGCCACACCTGCACACAGGGGGCTTTCAAGATGCCCACTTTGCGTGCCTGGCTGGCTCAGTTGGTGGAGAATACAACTCTTGATTTCAGGGCTGTGAGTTCCAGCCCCACCTTAGGTGTAGAGCTTACTTACATTAAAAAAAAAAAAAAAAAAAAAAAAGAAAGAAAGAAAGAAAGAAAGAAAGAAAGAAAGAAAGAAAGAAAGAAAGAAAGAAAGAAAGAAAGAAAGAAAAGTGCCCATTCTAACGCCCCCTCTGGCCACAAGGCCAATGTCACATCTGCATCTCCTGTGTGACTCTACAGACTTTTCTCTTCCAGCCTTCCCCACCGCAGGCCAGACATTTGTGGTCGGCTCTGCCTCCTGGAACCTCTCCTACACAAGAAGTAACGTGGGGAGCGCAGACCTAGACAGCGGCCTGAGGCCAGGAGGGCACCGCGCACCTTGCTCTCAGGGTCGGCGGCCTGGTCCCCCGGCTTCTGCAGCTGGTAGGTGCCGCAGGCCAGCAAGTGCCTGCAGCCTTCCAGCGGGCACCACTCCACCGAGTCCGCGGTGTACTCCGTGTCCACCGCCTGCAGCAGCCGGACGCGACTTCCCGTCACCCAGGTGTCAGACGCAGACGCAGCGGAGACAGGGCGGCGAAAGCGGGGTGGAGAGGCCAGGTTGAAAGCGGGGGTCGGGGTGGGGGCTGAGGTCGGCGGTGAGAGTAGGGTCGGTGTGGGAGCTGGGGTCCGCGGTGAGAGCGGGGGGGGGGTCGCGGCCGGGGTCCGCGGTGAGAGCGGGGGGGGGGGTCGCGGCCGGGGTGGGGGCTGGGGTCCGCGGTGAGAGCGGAGGGGGGTCGCGGTCGGGGTGGGGGCTGGGGTCCGCGGTGAGAGCGGGGGGGGGTCGCGGCCGGGGTCCGCGGTGAGAGCGGGGGGGGGTCGCGGCCGGGGTGGGGGCTGGGGTCCGCGGTGAGAGCGGAGGGGGGTCGCGGTCGGGGTGGGGGCTGGGGTCCGCGGTGAGAGCGGGGGGGGGGTCGCGGCCGGGGTCCGCGGTGAGAGCGGGGGGGGGGGTCGCGGTCGGGGTGGGGGCTGGGGTCCGCGGTGAGAGCGGGGGGGGGGGTCGCGGCCGGGGTGGGGGCTGGGGTCCGCGGTGAGAGCGGGGGGTGGGTCGCGGCCGGGGTGGGGGCTGGGGTCCGCGGTGAGAGCGGGGGGTGTCGCGGCCGGGGTGGGGGCTGGGGTCCGCGGTGAGAGCGGGGGGGGGTCGCGGCCGGGGTCCGCGGTGAGAGCGGGGGGGGGGTCGCGGCCGGGGTGGGGGCTGGGGTCCGCGGTGAGAGCGGGGGGGGGTCGCGGCCGGGGTGGGGTCGCGGCCGGGGTGGGGGCTGGGGTCCGCGGTGAGAGCGGGGGGTGTCGCGGCCGGGGTGGGGGCTGGGGTCCGCGGTGAGAGTGGGGATTGCGTTCGGAGCGGCAAGAGCGCTGAGCTCCAAGGGGTCCAATATTTTACTTCCGTCGTCGCCTCCCTCCTTTCCGGGACACCGGGGCGGGACTTCCGGCCGCCGTGGCCACGCTTCGGGCTAGGCCCGGGCGCCCCCTACGGGTCCCGGCACCAGCGCGCACATCCGGCCCTCCAGGGAGACGCGAGTATGGGGGGGGGAGGTGGGACAGCCGAGTGTCCAAAGGAAATCGCACAAAAGCTGGGCTCTTAGGAGGAGAGAAACAGGGCATGTAAGTAAGGGTGAGCAAAAGAGGTTCAGGGAGCCTGGTCGGAGGCTGGCCCCCAAGGGGCTGGGCCATGCTGCCCTGTCACTCATGTCCATCCTAGAGGGCTGCCGGCTGCTCCAGGGACGCAAAGACCTGCCCGCCAGGACAGCAGAGAAAGGAGCCAGGGACAGCCGGGGGCGCCTGATTCTCGCCGGCTGGGGTGGTGGACAGGAAGGTGGACCCTCTGCAGGGTCAGCATCTGGGCCCAAAGGAAAGGGAGGACACCTGGCACAGCCACAATCTGATTTGGGAGACTTCAAGTAGATGTTGCTGCCATTCAAGAAAATTAACATACTCTACAGAATAGGTTTGGGGAAGGCAAGTTTTGGACATGGTTAATTAAGGATGGATTAATTTGTCTCTCCAAAAAGATATGCTGGAGTCCTGTCCTACAGCACCACTGAATGTGACATTTGGAAACAGGGTCTTTACAGAGGTAATCCAGTTAAAATGAGGTCTGTAGGGTGAGCCCTAGTCCAATATGTGACTGGGGTCTTTAGGAAGGGGTGATCTGTTCCCTATGCAGGACAGACCCACATAAGGAAGAGAATGTAAAAGCAGAGGATTGGTATTATGCATCCACAAGGCAAGGGACACCTGAAACTGCCAGAAACTAGGAGAGGCCTGGAACACAACACACCTTTCTCTGTGTCTTCAGAGAAAGCTGAGTCCTGCCAACACCTTGATTTGGGACTTCTGACCTCCACAGTGGGATGACACATTGTTGTTTTAAGCCATCTATTTCATGACATTTTGTTATGATAGCCCCAGGTAACTGGACATGGGGACACTGAAATCTATGTAGATACCTGGGGACCCACCTGTGGTTTAGCAGTAGGACTTTGGCTAAAAATACCGAGCAACAGAAAAGGGTCAGGAAGCAACAGGACTTTCTGAAATGGCTGGCTCAGTTGGTAGAGTATTCAACTCTTAATCTCAGGGTTATGAGTTTGAGACCCACACTGGGTGTACAGATTACATTAAAAAAAAAAAAAACCCAAAAACTTAAAAGAAAAAAGTCTAAGTCAAGGGACGCCTGGGTGGCTCAGTTGGTGAAGCTTCTGCCTTCGACTCAGGTCATGACCTCAGCGTCCTGGGATCAATTCTGATGTTGAGCTCCCTGCTCAGCAGGGAGTCGGCTTCCCCTTCTGCCACTCCTCCTTGTTCACGCTCTCTCTCTCTCAAATAAACAAATAAAATCTTTTAAAACAATCTTTAAAAAAAGTCAAGCAGCTCCACATAGCACACTCCAAACAAGCCCCTTATTTTCACCATCTGAATGTTAAACATACTCTCAGATGTATGGCTACAAAGATCAAGAGATTGGGACCATCAGAGGAGAAATAAACCAGGGGCTGGTATCAGAGAAGGGACAAAGGAAACAAATAGGGGAAACAGCCTATGGATCCTATAGTACCTTCCTGACAGTGTCCATACCAGGGGACATGGCAGTGACGTTAGCAAAGGGGAGAGCCACCACATGTGCAACTTTAGGACCCTTACAGCCACCTTCCAAGCTCCACCCAGAGCCTTTCACTAGCACAGACCTAGGGGTGGGGGGGGGTGTCTCTAACACACAGTACAGGGGCATAGCCCAATCAGGGAACAGCTACCAGCTGCAGCACCTGCTTGAAACAGCCACATTGGACAGCAGTCCCTAGGCCAAGGCCACTCCCGATGAACCATGTGACATGGAAGAAACCAACCATGTTTCAGGACCTGGTGTGGTGTTCTACAGGTCAGCTGAGACCTTTCAATGTAATTTTCTGATGAGTAAGTGACCACAGGACAACATGTGCTAGTCAGAGAATGCAGACAGACTGAAGTGCCCAGACACAAAGGACATGGGCAAGAACCATAGTCTATGGTCTGGTGCATCCTCATCCTGGAGCCTTTGTGTGAAAGCACACCCAAGGCCCTGTACCTGGAAGATGACCCAAACCCCGTGACAGCCTACACAGTTTCCCCCCCACAGTCCTGACCAGCGCTGGCTTCTTGGAAACAGGAGGGACACCAGCCCTGGGAACGTTCCAAGAGCTCAAGACAATTGTTATCTGTGAGACTGGTTCCCAGGATCACACATATTCCCTCCCCAAGAGGTTTCTGAGCCCTAATTACCACTCAACCTAAGGTCTGGAGAGACCTAGAGTGGAACTCACCTACAGAGCAAAGATATCCTTGACCTAGAAAATAGGCTGCATCTAACTCACACACTGGCAAAGGGTTGAGCAAGTGGGGTTCTCTTACCTTGAGAGACCCTCCCTTAAGAGTTAGAACTGAGCCCTCCTGCTCCCTGTATGTTGCCTGATTTCCTCAGTCCTGCTCTCTAAGACATACTGCCCAAAAGGACTC